CATCTTACGGCAGAGGACGTGGAGGAAGAAGTGGGTAGTAAGGAATTGGTCCCGTGTAAAATATCAAGGCACAGGATTTGTCGAGGTATCAGTGGCAAGGGGGCGGTTCAGTACTACACGCATTGGACGGGGTTGGCTAAGTGTACGTGGGAGCATGAAGTAGAGTTGGAGCAATATGGAGACGTGGTACTTAAGTATTGGAATGAGCAGCCGGAACAATCGGCCGGAGGGAACATTAGGTATCGGAGGCACCGTATTCAGGGCGCAAAGAGGACGATTGCTAGCAGGAAGGGAGAAAGACACGTGCAGAAAGATTACAAACTTTGTTGTGACACACGGGGTAGGCCGAGTCTTCGAAGTAGGGCGATGATTGGTGCATATTTATATTTTAAGACGGTTAAGGCTGGGTGGCAGTTTGCGAAGGTGGTGCAGGTGACTCCGGATCTGAGGTGGGGAAGAAGGCATCAAGCATACTATCAAGCTGGTGGACATCGGCAAAAACATCAATGTGGCACTTGTGGAGAAGAACTTGACGACGGACAACTTGGTACAAGATCCAGGGACGTGGTGCATCCATGCACACCGAACGGCGAAAAGTGTGAAGAAGCACATGTTGTTTGAGTTGGAGGATGATTAAGTGTTGGAATTTTGAAGTGCGTAGGACTGCGGAAAAGTGTGCCAAGTGGTGCAGTCGAATACGGGTCAAAATTTGTGTTGCGAATTATTGAAGTGCGTAGGACTGCGGAAAAGTGTGCCAAGTGGTGCAGTCGAATACGGGTCAAAAATTGATGTGTTGGAGCAATTGTTGTTTTGGCTAAAGAATGTACCTTGTGATGGAGTCATATTGCAGTGGTACCACGGTCGTGACGAAATTGGTGTGCGTATTACATGAGTTGGTATTCTGGTGATTTAACTTTTGGACTTGTTGCGAGAGAAGATATTGGTTGTAGGTCAGGTGTTGCACGCTGGTGTTGAGTGTCAATTCAAACGAGACTGATCGAAGATAAGTATGCGTTGAACCTGGGGGGGGCGAATGTCGTGCAATAAGCCAACCCTAGTTTTGGTCAGTGTAAGAAGACTTGGGGTAGTTTAATCGCAGTATATATGTTGAGGCGTGATGGAATGGACTTGCGAATGATGGCTCTGGGAGCAGGGTTGGAATTAGTTCTGGTTGAGATATCGTCAAATAAGGTAATGAAAAGTGTATGAGATGGAGACTAGAAGTGAGGAAGGTTTGGTTTATGGTTGGAATGATGAGCTTATGAGGGAATTGCAGTCAGTTGAGAGAGAGAGAGAGAGAGAGAGAGTTGGAGAGAAAGTGAAGCGGCGCAATTGGATAAATACAGGGAAGCGGCGCAATTAGCTCGTGTCAGCTGATGTTGAGTGCCCCCCTTTTTCAGTGTTCGAATTCCCCGCTGATCCCGGCCCACGAAGGCCTAAGAAACACACTTTGATCGCACGCATCTTCGAGACGCGAAACACACACGACCCCACCGGCACATCTACATAAATATCTAGGCGCGAGTAGGCCACCGCCGGCCGATTGCACGTCATCAGCGCCAGGGGTCTCCATCAAATCTATGGACCGAAATCTATAGGGACGGGATTCTGGCGTTCCTACAGTCTGCGATGACGTCTGGTGACTTTCTCGCTCTGACAAAAACTCTCAAATACGCGCTGCGCGGTCATGAGATCCGCGCGCACATCTACGAACAGAGACATCCGGGAATACACCTTCCTTTTCCACAGAGTCTTCTCTGTATCCTAGCTGCCACTCTCGCGTCTTCACTGTTCACTCTCGATGTCGGCCGCAGCTGTCTCGGCAACTCTGTGAGGACACCAGAGCAGAGCGCGCGCACGCGGTGAGATGGGTTCTAAATATCTTGTTTCGGTTCGGAAAGCACGCGGAGGAAAAAATGTCATAAAGAAAAAAAAAAAGAAGGTGAGACGGCATCCAAACCAGCTTGTCATGCCACGCGCAGAACATCTCTGGGGGCAGCATGCCTGTCTCGCGAACTCGTCCGCTATGCGCCACGTGCACACGACAAAGGCTCGACCACAAAACAGGTTTCTGGAAACAACACCACATCAAGAGTTTAGGCACAAATTTGCAAATTTGGTCGGAGGATCTCCCCCAGCCACCGCTCACCTGATACTGATAGCAAGTTCGATTTACGGGTGCAGGAACGATAGACGCGTGGTGGAGAGGGAACCGTCGTTCTTGGGCACAATGCGCACACTGACTACACCTGTTGATTGCCTGCCAATTGTGGCCGCGTGGGTCGGTGACCCCGTACACGTATCGGTGGTTCGGGCCGGGGGAGGGGAGAACGTATACAGCCCCGCCCTTCACGAATAAGAAGCAAGAAAAGTTAAAAAGATATGACTCCTTGATTAATGTGAAGACAACAACAACAACTTGATTACTTCAGGGACACTACGCTGACCCGATCAACTTTGAGCAACCTGATTCCTTCCCTCTCTTGAGCGTTCGGGTGGGCAGGTGGGAAAATCGATCAAGGCCGTAAATTCCTCTCTTCTTTCTAGTGTACTGAAAGGTGACAGAACTTTCAGATTAAATAAGGCCCTCACATTTATTTCAAGATTTCAAGTACCGAAGGGGAAAGATCTCATCCCGGAGCTTTATGCACTAGACGACCACGTCGAGCTGATGGTAAATGCTGGTATTGGTGTTGTCGACGAACAGTCGACCCTTGGCACGTTCGTTGCTGGCCTCCATCCGTCCGAGTTCGACTTCGAAATCCGACAGCAGGTGTTTGACGGCGACGCGGTTATCTCCACGATAGATAGAGGCACAAATACAATCTTTTACGCAGCAGGCTGAAGAAAAACTCCCCCAGCAGCCAAACTTCTTGCGGGCATAGAACATGAAAATATAACTATCTATCTTCAATCTTCAGGCGTTCTGTTGAGGTCATGGCAAGGTGAGCTCAGTGGGATGAGTATCGTCGGTGTCGAAGGTCCCGCCTTTTTAGCCGTCTCCGGAGGGGTTTCGTTGAATCATGGTGGTACCTCAGCCGAGCCTCTGTCCGAATTTTGATTCTTTATTGTAGAGGGAGGAACACGTGTGTCTAGCTCGCTCCGTATGCGATTCTTTACTTCACCGCATATGCGCAAATTGAAAATCTACGGAGCCCCGCCGCGAAAATGCCACAAAGGACGAAGGACCACATCTCCACCATCACTACTCTGAGACCGCTGTGAACAAGTGGTGTGGAGCTGCGGGGAATTCTTTTGATCTCAAATTTATTTTCTGGACAGGGGGCAGCCCACCTGTCTATTTGTCCGCAACCCAAAAGCACGCGGGAGGGAGCCAGACTGCCGCTGGGGCGTGCGTGGTGAGTAATTTTTCTGATTATTCGCACGGTACCGGGAGGTGGCTGTTGTGTGGATGCGCCATCTCGTACGCCATTGTAAGCGAAGGCTTGGGGTGAGCGTGGAATGCAGCCTTAGGAGGTGTGCAACCAACCTTGTTCGTTCGCACTTCTTCTGCGAAAGCGATGCCGTGGCGGTACGCTGCGGTGTGCTTCGATCGACATTGCTGTGAGAAGACCTCTGCACACATGCTCCCAAGGCTGAAGCGTAAAAACTTGACGAGTCGATTAGTTGTTATCAACGCACAACAAATGAAAAAGGTGTGTGCGGCCGAACTCGGTGGGCATGCGCACTCAGAACTGGTGGCCGCACTATCTTTTCGGCCGCTGAGCTTCTCGAACAAAGCCGAATTTGTTCGTACGTGTCTGAAAACGAAGAGTCCGCCATGTTTGTCCGAAAAGGAGTCATCCTACGGTAGGGGGGGCCACCTGAATTTCACACGAGAAATAGCTACGCGGTCGCGTAGCTCTCCGAATCTCGGAATAACCGTTTCAAACAGAAAAAAACTCTTTTCTATGATAGAGATGGATTCGTTGTGTCATATTAAGAGGGAAAAAAAAGAAGGGAAATGGACAAAAAGGGGACGTCCCTGGGATATGTTGGACAAATTCGGGACGTATGCTTTGTCGGGAAGAGGCGCGCTCACGTACACCCCCAATACCCTCCGAAACTGCGTTCCAGTGCCTTCTCCCACCGCGCAGGGTGTGTGGGAGCCTCCCCAAACAGTTGTTTTGGCCTTCGGCCGGCGACTGCTTTGCTTTCACGGTCGCTCAAAAAACCCTCTCCGCAGACGACCCCATTTTGTCATGATAATCCCACGTTCGATCCCCTCCTCTGCTAAAAATTCACTACGGACCCTATTTTGTTCATACCCCCGGCGGATTTTGTCCAAGAGACGACCCCTTTTTGTACAAACGAGGATCCGGGATCCGGGTTCGATTCCGACCCCTGGCTGTAAAATTGGGGGCCCAGTAAATCTTGCTGGAACCGGCACGGTGGCAGTGAGCACCGCGGAGCCCCCAAACAACTGAAAAATGACTGCCGAGAGAGCATTCCTTTTCCCGCCTTGCGAAAAGGTGCTTCTAACAAGAGCTAAAAGCAAAAAGTTCAGTCCATCCCACCCGCCCAACCTTTGTGCTAGTAAGACATTTTTGGGAAGAAATCACTTGTTTTATTTAGCCGCGCACGTGTTTGGCGAAAATACTATCTATGGGCGAGGACCCTCTGCCGTAGGCAGGAGGCCGCATCCAAATCCAATACTTTCATCAAATGATTGCTTTCAGGGCACAAAAATACAACAGTAAATAAAAAAAAAACGCTTGCTTTCAGGCCGTGCTACGTGTCGTAATAGTATGACCTAGACAAGCACGAGTATTCATCTGTTCAAGGGATATTTGGCGCAAGAAGGCTGGAAACCGACTTCCCCAGAAGAACCGTGGGGTTCTACGGTAAAGAAAGAGATTTCTAAATGACACCAATTCCGGACCGTGGTCGTCCTGCTACATTTGCAATAATAAGTGTACTCAAGCATGAGCGAACTACTACACAACGGGGATACAGAATGGTGGAACAACTGTGAAACTCGCTTCTGTGCTCAGTGTTTCCGCTCTCCTCAAGCCCACCCTCCGTCTGCTTCAGGAATATCCTCTGCATCGTTCCGCGAGGAGCCGCGTGATGTGTCAAGGCCGGCATCTCCGCGACTTTTCTTCGAGCTACGGCCCCAGTGAGGGCGGTGCCACTTGCCGCTGTGGCTTATACCAGACCTAGTCGAATCCGGACCGGACATGTCACCATGGTCGTCATCATCATGAACATGGCTGTGGCTGCGATCTCGGTGGTGGTGCTTTCCGAATACGCCGTGCATTAGGCGGGAGGACCCGTGCAAAAACCTCTTCGCTCTGCCGCCTGTGCGCTCATCTCTTTCCGGTTCGTCGTCTTTGCTTCCTTCGTTTTCTTCGGGGCCTTTTCCGGGATTTCCAAGCATGCCGTCGTGGCTCGGGGCAGCGGGTTTCGCAGCAGGGTCACTACCCCTGCCGCTGCCGCTGTCACTGCCGCTGCGACGTTCGCCGCCAGCACCGCCGACATGTGCTGGGCTGCCGCGATTTGGGTCATTCCTGCTGGCGTTGAAAGATCCTGCTGCACGCGAAAAGGCTTCCGCGCGGTTGGCATCCATAGCCATTGCTTCTCCTGCGGTGGAGGCCGCGACGACACCGGATGGGCCCTTAGTAGATGCCATGACGCTTGCTTGCCTGGAAGGAGAGCGTGACAGAGAAGAAGATCGGGGAGTAGCAGGGGCAGCAGCAGCAGCAGCAGCGGGTGAAGCGGAAGAAATGGGTGCAGCAGCGGCGGAAGAACCGGGTGCGATTCTGCCAACGCTGCCACCAGCCCTATCCACACTCGCCGTTCGTTCCGACGGCAGCGCCAGCAGGGCGCGCGGACTGTCCTCACGGCCCACATTCACACTGGCTGCCTCAGATAACCCATCGGGCGCTCCCTCTGTTGACGAGTCATCGGCGAAGAGCGCCGGTAACATCATACAAGACGCAGATGAGCTTGCGGGCGCGGACTTAGATTTGGCGGCGCGAGCAGCGGCGCGTGCAGCAGCCACTACCCCAGCAAGCGCCACCGCACCAGGTGCAACAGCGAACGCGACAGCGCCGCCCGCAGCTACCGCAGCGGGGCTCCACTTCTTTCCCACGCCATCTTCCTCCCCATCTACGGCATCAGTGCCGCCGCCCGCACCGATCGTCCTCGAGTGTTGTATCTCCCCGGCACGATGAGTCGGCCCGAGCAGGTTCGACGTTTCGTCGACTTTCGCGCGACTTGAAGCCAATCTTGCCAACGCGGGAGACGGAGCTAAGGCTGCCGCGGCAAGTAGTCCGCCTGCAGACCTCGGAGAAGAGCGGGGGCCGGGAGCGGTGGAGGACGCGGGGCCGTAGAAGAAAGGGTAACCGGACGCTCCTCCTGCGTTCCTGTCTTCTGTACCTCCTCCCTGGCCCGTCTGCGGCGTTGGGTGCGTGATGGACCAGCGTGTTCGACGGCTCTGACGTGCTGCTTGCACCGCCAGGAAGAACGCCCTCCCTCGCCATGCATAGAAGTTTGAGGCGAACAGACCCACCAAAACCAGTAAGAAGTAGAGTCGAATCCTTGTTTCGGTTGGGGGACGTGGACGACGACGAAGACGAGGAAAGCAAGAAACATGAAAAAAGCTAGACAACATTACACATGGTCGCAGCGGTAGGGAGTTATTCGCTAGCTCGTTCATTCGTTCGCACAAGGAGCCAGGGGGAACTGTGGCAAGCATATTGACCGCCTACTGGTGTGTAAATGGAACACCTACTTCTCCTGCAGCCGCTCGTATGGATGCCACGACCTGCTCTGGGGCGAAACAATCGAAATCATCTAGCTGGCGCTTTCTGTATATTCCATACGCTGGCAATTCGTCCCTTCCGTTGTTTTGGTGTGGTCCAGTTTGCTTTGAATCATGGACGAGAGTGTAGGTCGCCACGCTCGACAAATTGCCCGTGTTTAAGGACAAAACGCTGTAGACAAACGTGTTCCGCGTCTCAGAAAGGGTGCCCCGTTCGCATCTGTGTTGTTTTCGTAGAAAACCACATAGAGATCTACGATCTGTGAACCACGGCAGGCATGGTCTACACAGCATTTGTGTCTTGTTTTCGAACGGCCAGTACAAAGTTACGTGCCGTGCGGCTTTCTGGGGCGAGATCAAGCGCGCTCAAAAGGTCCGTGCCAAAGTTGTTGAACATTTGGTGCTGGCTCGTCACGAAAATCAAAATCAACAGGCGACGTACCAATGCTTACAGCGAATATGTGTATCCTTGCTTTTCATGAGACTCGAAAGAGGAATCGTTCGCCAAACGCTTGCCGCGCATTCTTGCCAGGTAATATCGCCGGAGGAGCTGAGCTAAACACCCTTGGTAACCTCTTCGGGGAAAGGTCGAGTGTCTCAAGGGGTACCCTGTTCCCGGGAACAACTGAAACGATCCCCTTACGAGACAAAGCATCGTTTACCTTTTGCCGCGTTCTTTCTGGATACCGAAAGAAAGACTGAGCACAAGTTTCTAAGTTTTGAGAGGTCAGACTGTTCATCATGGAATTATATTTTCAAGCGAAAGCAGCGCATGGAGAAGACACCAACGATCTTCTATTAGATCTCAAACAAAAACGAAGCAACCCGAGAATAACATACCCTCGTGGCTGTCGAGACTCGACGAATCTTTTGAGAGGACCACAGCGCCAGCCAACTCGCAACTCATCAATCTGAGGCCTGTGAACTATGCACTCACCACGACGCGAAGTAGAGTCCAAGCTGAAGAAGCGTGTGCGCAACGATTATCCCGATGGTGCCCAGAAGCACCTTCACTTCAAGGGGGTGAAATAATCGTCTCACGAGCATCAGAATGACGCCCCAAAATTCCAACTGGCAGGACGGACAAAATATGGGAAAATCAACAATGAGCAACAACAAGGACAGCAGGGCGTGGAAATCGGTCGTTCGATTGATTCCTTCGACCTACTTATCCCTGTCATATCGCTGGGATATCAACTACCCATCCTCATGTTCGTTCCGAGCAGTCACGGTTGACAACTGAGGGGCTCTGAGAGACGAATAGGTGCAACGTCATCCCTCGCATCCAGTGCCGTCCAGCAGAGAGGACAGCACACCGGGCAGAGGCTGTGGCACGGGCAGGCGAATACATATGATGCAAACCGAGCGGCCAGGTTGTTGCTGGCGCAACACTAGCCGCGACCGAACACCTCATGTCAAGAGTTTTTGTGGGTTGTGAAGGAAACGTTGCAAATTAAAAAAGCAAAGCAGAGCGGCGTGTGGTTACGAAAACTACTGTGTACTTCGTAGTAAGCAAGAGAAGAGGCTAGCCCTTGCATAGTCTAGGATACTTTTCCAACCACCTAAAACTGCTCAGGGTCTGCCATCGCCCCTTGCTAAATTGGCAGGGCAATTTATCCCGGTATGTACGTCATCACATGGCAGAAAAGCATGGTCCCGGCATTCGCTCGTTTGGCAGCGCCCTTTGCCACCACCACCGGATGCACGTCGACAAGAGACGCCACGAGCCCTTTTTTATAGCTCGCTCTCACGTCGTTCTGGAGCCTTCGGCCGTCCTTCGCGAGGGCTTTCTTCCCAATCTGCTCGACGGCGCTGGGGAGCTTCTTGGTCTTGGAGACGCTAGCTAGTATTGCGTCCATCTGTTCATCAGCGTACGGATCAAATCCAGCAGGGCATGGCATGTCAAAAGGGAAACGACGGGGACACAGTCAGGGGAACGGGTGGGCTCACAGGGTGAGCGGCGGGGATGGGGGCCAGCTCGTTTCTGGCGGCCACCAGTGACTGCGTCTGCGAAAAGCGTGTGCATCGTGTACCCCGATCAAGCACGTGGCCGAGAAGCCTCCTCTTTCGTTAGGTGAACTGAACGTCTTGGTCATGAGGCGTTTCTTCAAGTCAACCGACCGCGAAGCCGGCTCTTGAACAAGGGCTTGCAGGCAGTAGCAGGGTGCCACTGCCTGAGACACCTCACGTTCCTCATCTTCATCTTCAGGCGCGCGGAAGGAAAAACCACAGCAGTGGCGGAGTACCGATACATTTGCCAAACCCGCCGATTCGTAGACAGCGTCATGAGCAGGGAACTCAAGGCTAGGTGATGTGTCGGGGCTCCTGCTCTTTTGAGCCGAAGATTGATTGAATTCTCGCTGTTCTTTTCCGGCCTGACACGCCCGCGTTGTCCACAACACGCCCGGCGTTGGTGAACCGACAAGGGTACAAATTTTCCTGGTGCCGGCTGAATGACATGAAGTACAGTCTCGCGGGTTGATTCATGTTGGGATGAAAGGGAGCTTCTTCTCCGCTGCCGTAAGATACATGCCTGCTCATTTCGTTGAAGCAGTTGTAATTGGTGGTGGTGGTGGCGCATCGTCACAAATCTGGTGCGGCTTTTGCTCATCAACGACAACAAGAAAAAACTGGCCCGAGCATTTAGAATTCAGCTTCAAAGGCCAGACAAATATTCTCGAACGGGGCGCACTACACAAATCAGATCGACTGCAATCGCGACACCGTAGAATGTAATCGTCTGGATTACTTCGTGTCATTCGGGAGATGCGACTGACCTAGTTCGGGGGTCGATGGAGATGGCACCGATCGCAAGCACTCCGGGTTTCTCATTTACATTCCAAGCAGTTACGCTGCACCAACACACGCATTTGCACATGAATATACTGGAACCTGGCCGGCGAGAACCCGACACGGAACCCTCCGGCATTGTAGGCAGGTGTGGGAAGCTTTCGGCCCTCCGTAGCCTCTTTGCGGATGGCGTGGTGTCTGCATTTTCTTCTGCAATATATTTTCTCTTCCGAGTGGTACGTACATACCCTCTCTTGTGTTGTGCCAGCGAGACGTAAGACCCCTTCGGGGCTGAGCATATTCTCCAGCGTGTATGTATCATACTTATTGATTTTTCTTCCGCGGCGTCGAGTGTGATGTGTTTTGCGACTACGGGCCCCCATGGGTGTTTTGCACTACATGTAGAGAGCTAAGGTGAAAAACGACAACAACAACAACAACAACAACAACAACAACAACAACACATACACACACACACATATGCGGACGGGAAGGCGGACATGGAGATCGCGAGCCGCATTTTCCGAGCATGGAAGGGCTTTCGCCGGCATAGCGATGCAATGTACCTCAGACGACGCGTCAACCTGCAGCTCAAGGTGCAACTACTCCAGGTACAAGTGGTGGAGACGCTCCTGTACGGGTGTGCCTCGTGGAGTCTGGCGGCGGACCACTACACCAAGCTCAACGGGGCCCACCGCCAGTTCCTCACGCGGTGCACCGGCTGGAGCAAGTGGAAACGTACGGACCGTCCCCTGTCCTACGCTGAGACCCTTCTCCGAACTGGCTGCGAGGAGACAAGCGAGGCCACCGTGCGCAAGCGGAGGTTGTATTTCTTGGGTTTTCTCATGCGCATGGTGGACGCCCGCCTCCCCAAGCGCCTTCTGCTTGGAACGCTGGCGACCGGCAAGGGGTACCGGGGAGGGCAGGAGAGCGACTGGCTGTCCCATCTAGGTGAAGATCTCGTGGCGTTCGGCATGGAGGACGAGAAGGAAGGGGGGAAGTGGTAGACGAGCGCCTTGGAGCAGGAGGAGTGGTTTGGCAAGATCGAGGACGGGGTGGCTCGGTTCATGAGGAAGTGGCACGCGAGGGAGGCAGAAGCCTGCGCGAAGCGCCAGCTCGCGAGGGCGGCGGTGGCCGCGGTATCGGCGGCGGACGGCAAGATCACGGCGGTGGCGGCAGAGAGCCCGGCCCCTCACGGTGACCTACAGAGAAAGAGAAATGGGGGGGGGGGGGGGGGGGGGTGTACTCATAGTCGTGCATGCCGTAGTCGTTTGACCATTGACCTCGCATCCCTACAAAGCCGGGACGGAGCACGCCGGGTTCTCACCGGACCAGGCTCTCACATCACCAAGCGCGAAGCGCCGTGAGGTATTTGGCGAGTCGCATGAAGGGTGAGCTGCATCCTGCTAAGGGTGTTCGGCATCTTGTGCTTACTTCCTTGCGTACGGATGACAGCTACGTATGACTTAATTTATTTTCTGGTGCTTTCACTTCCAGAGACAGTTGTAAGCACTGTGTAACTGCCTCGAGGAAGCTTGACCATTTTAACACAACGTGGTGCGATCATCCCCCGTTGCGCGGAGTGAGGTTTCTCGACCCCGCACAACATGATCTACTCGACCACCCATTATGGTTACCGCCAAAAAAAAAACAGAGGTAAAAAACCCCCCGGTAACCTGGTTGCCGAGTTCACGAGGTGAATTGGCTTGTTTTACAACGTCGTTGCCAAGCGACGAAAACCCAATCCCGATGGCAAACACGGGG